CCCCCCCCCCCGCCCCCCGGAGATGGCAATACTAGGGAAGGGGAGTCAACTGGAAGCTGCTGGACTTAGACGTCCTGGGGAGCCTTTGGAAACCAAGAGCGGCGTGGTGAATAGCGAGGATGAGCAGAGAAAGTGGACCAGAGATGGACAGAAGGACCCCAGGGGAGCACAGGCAGAGCAGGGCAGATGCGCCTCCGGGATGGACAGTGCAGCAGGTGCAGGTATCCCTGAAAGATGTAGGGAGGAGAGTCTGGTGTGGGGGAAGGGAGGAGAAGATCAAAAAAGGAGGATTTCGCAGTCCGCGACTTCCTGTTTCCACTGTTTCCAACATGCAAGTTCCCAAGTTCAGTTTGAGAAGTGGAGGGCCGCTTCGTGCAGGGGAGTCTGGAATGGGAACGTTGGGGAAATGCCTCCCCAAGGCGCATTCTCCCACCCATATTCATATTCTCTCCCTCTCTCCCTCTCTCTCTCTCATTCTGCCTCTCTCTCTTCCCCTGCCTCTTCTCCTCCTCCTCCTGTCCCTATTCCATCTTCCTTCAGCTTTGCTTAATATGCATGTCCATGCTCAGTAGTGCGGGCCACCGCCTTTCGCTCGACCCTTGGTACCGGGAGGCCCAGCAGGAGCGACCAGAGGCTTGGAATGGGGAGGCCGAGCGCTCAGAGCGCAGAGCCTGAGAACCCCTCGTCGCGCCCCAGTCCCCACCCCCCTGGCCAGAGAGAGCGCCTCAATGACCCAGACTCCGAGATCCGGCTCGGGCTGCGTTGCAGTAGACGGACCCAGGGGCTTGGAGCGCGAAACAAAACGCGCTAAATTGTACCTGTGCGTGGCCGTTCCCGCCGCCGCCGCAGGTCTATCCCGGGCCCGAAGCCGGCGCCCGCCTTCTCGGGGAATTCTCCGAAGGGGGAGTGCGAGGGGAACCACAGTAGCTGCCTGCTAGCTCATGGCTGGCGCGCACACGCACACGCCCAACTTTGCCAAGTCGTCGGCGCCCCCCGGGCTCCCCGCGTCCCCTGCGGCTCGACATACTCAGAGAGCTGAATCTCTCTGGGTCTGAGATAAGGGTCCCCCCACTCTCACACCCTCGCGTGTTGAGGAGAGGGCGGGGTGAGGGAGAGAAGGGGGTTAACGCTACTGACTCCCTGACCAGCCTTTCGCAAACACTCTAAGCCCACAGGAGCGCCCGCGTCAGCCCCGCCGCACCAGGTCCCCCAGACCTGCCGGTGACGACAGAGGGGGGGGGGGAGGAGGAAGAGGAGGAGGAGGAGGCGGCGGCAAAGCAAAGAGCCGGGAGGGGAGCCCCGGAGCCCTGGCGACGGACAGTTCCATCAGCTGACCGTCATTATCAGCACTTTTATTACTAGGGGACTGGTGGGGAGGTTGGGGGTGTAGAGCAGAGCTGCCCGGCCCCAGTCCACTCTGGAGCGACCCTAAATTCGAGCGAGAGAGAAAGATTCTCCACGGACACCTTTTGAGTGGACGTGCTCCAGACGCACACCCGGACCCGTGGTCCCGCCGAAGCTGCAGTGTTGGGGATATTTTAAATGGCTCTTATTTGGGAGGAGGCGTGATTTCCACGTTCGAGCGTCTTCGCTCCCCACCCCCTCTCGGCACCAGCCAGTGCGCGCCACCACCTGAGCATGGCTAGAGCCGGGGTGCACGCAGTCTTCAGCCTGTTCCTTTCCGCCTTTGGGGAGATTCGGCTGTGAGCGGGTCCGCCGGACGCCCCCGATCCCCTGGGAAAACTCTTTACTTTTTGTTTGGAAAATCGGGGCCGTTTCTTTATTTATCTCTGGGTCTCCCCGGAGGAGGGCAGTGGAGGGGAGGGCGAGCTCAGCGGGCCGGGCCGGGGGAGGGGAGCGCGGGGCGGGGAGGGACTGGGTGTAGCCTGGAATTCTCCGTCCTCGTGTTCC